CCTTAGCTTTATTACAGATTACCTGATGAGTTATTGATCAATGTGCTTGTTGAGACATATGAAACTTGAAAAGGTTCTGTATTTTTATTTTTTTATTTTATTTTCTTGTAATGCCAGTGCTGATTTTCCTAAATCTTGGCTCTGATATTTTAATAATAATTAAAACTGTAATGCCAAGTGTATTGTATTTGATACACGAGTATTTGTGAGTGTTTAAAATCTTTACATCATCTTTTTTTTTTTTACTGAAAAAACAGAATAAATTGCACAAGAAATTTTAACCAATAAATTGTAGTAAAAGTTATTTTTTAATGATAACTTGAACTACTATATTCATCCTCCTATATTCACCCATCCATTCTCTTCCTGATCAAGGTTGTAGGAGGGCTCGGGCTTACCATAGGGTGAGATCTTTTATATGCCAATTCATTCTTATTTATTTATTTATTCATATTTGTTTTTAATAGAATGTTCTCGCAATTATTTCATGGTTCATGCTTTACACAAATAAAAAGACTAAAACTAATACAGAAACTAAAAAAACTAAACTAAACCTTTTTAAACAAGTCAAACTTTTTTTGAAAGAAGAAAATCCACTCTGGAAATTAACTGAAACGAAACTGAATTAAAAGCAAAAATGAGTCAAAATAAAATTAAAATAAAGCCTAAGTAGAAAATACAAAACTATAATACTACTGTCTGTCTTGATTGCTCACTGGAAATTATAAAATTCTAACAGCATTCATGTAAACATCAAAATAAGGACAAAATATAATTCTGACTGCATGTTTATCACTAATGTAACAAAATGGTAAATGCAATTTAAATGCTGTTTTCAGTCAACGTAAAGTTCGCTAAATAAAAATAACGTAAAATTTACACAAACTGTACCTAAGCGCAATACTTTTTCTTTCTGAGTTTACTTTTTTCCACTTTTTAATCACATTTATACCTACAAGATATTCAGACAGATTCAGACACATTCATTGAGCTCTGCACAGTTATCCATAAGGAGGAAGCAAAAACTGGGACTTGAAGAAAATTCACGTTGGTAAGAGCTTTACTCGGTTCCATTTTATTTCAAATTCGGTTATTAATAAGTTGTTTGTTTGTTTTTGTTTTTTTAAAGTTGAATTATTAAAGAGTTTAAACACCACAAAATTACAGACTATGCCCAAATGAAATAAATTCAAACCACAAAATCTACCAATGATGGCTGGAAGTTCACAAAGGAATCCTGTGTATCTTCTAAACAGCCGAAGGACCAGTTTTCATGTTCACACTGAAGAATAATCACGTGCATATTAAGGACACGAAATCTGCTCTTTGAAAAGTCCACTGCAGTCCAGCTGCAGCTCTTAATGACTGTATGCACAAGAATGCTGACTTAACTGTGTTGGAAATAAGACCAACATTCTTAGATTTAAATAAGATGCATGAGGATGGAAAGCACTGTATCAAGCACAAGAGCTGTGTTTCATCTTCATAGTATAGTTTAGACTGTTTTGCTTTGTAGTTTATAGTTGATGTCAGGTGGCCAGGTTGGGTTTTTTTATGTGCTAAAGTTCCTACAAACTACAGTGCAGGACTGATCAACTATTGCCACACAATGCAGTCACGCCAAATTCTTTTCACAAATGTGAAATAATTTCATATTAAGCAACCTCATTATGTAAATAACCAAGTCTAATATTTTTTCCCGTTTGTTTAAGTTTACATTTAGTTTTCTTTATGTGTCCTAGTTATGTTTAGGCCTTCCGTTACGTCTAAGACGTATTGTTTTTACGTCAAATTGTTAAACAAAAAAAGAAAGAAAAAACGAACAAAACAGAATTTGCCGCTGTTTGTTGTACTATAAATCCTTACTTAAAGAACTGAAAATTGTTTTCCAAGTGTAAATGTTGATGACTTCAGAATAAAGCACATCAGTTATCAGTTAAACCTCATAACCACGGTTTTAAGGTTATTTAACCCGCTCCGTGGACACTTTTGAAATACTTCTGTTTTATTTGAATTATATCTCATTGAATTTAAGAGACAAATGCAAATTGAACGACAACTCGTTTCTGTCAACGCCACTGTAGCGGAACTGAAATTGTAGAAGCCAAGGTTCAAACACGGAAGTAAATAGCTGTGTACCAGAGCTGTGTAGGCTGGGTGCTCGCTGACCCTGGGGAGAAACAGCTTTAAAAGTATGAAGTTTACCTGCTGAAATAAAGGTAATGTTGTCATCTCCCTGAACCGCAGATGTTGGCGCTTTAGCCGTGTAACGTTTGTTTGACGTATCAGCCGGTGTTATCTACAGAGACACACATGTAGGTCCTTCTAGGAGGACTCCGCTACAAAGCGACAGGGGTGCCAAATCCTCGAATTTACGTCTAATTATTCATTTATGTGATATAATGTATTATTATGTGTAACTGAACTGTATAATTGTCGTACCGGAGACACTTCACCTAGCAGCGTAAGCGAGAGGCAAAGGTAAAGACTGATTAGTTTGACAACACCACCTGTACCCTTGAACAGACGATTTTCTCTGTCGTCAGTCTGAAGTTATTGCTACAATTGATACATTTATTATTATCATTCCTTTATTTATTCTGATTCATATTCCTTTAAAAACGCTTGATAGAAAAGGTTGAAATTTACAGATGTTTTAAAATCAGAAGATTTGTCAACATTAAAAATTCCTCCCTGTGTTTTTATGTGACCTTTATTGTGTGCTCATCTTAACCATTCCTTTGTCCCATTTTTCATTAGATGCTTTCTGTTATATTCAGAAAAGGCAGCTTTGCAGCCCAGAAGGTAACATACACATGATTTTACCTTTTCATTGCTTTTTGTGGTTTTATAACTTAAAAAAAAATATATATATATATCGTGAATATCTTTCCAGGTATTACATCGGGCAGGTCCTATGCAGAAATGCTGGCCGTCAGCTGGGACTGGGGCTTCTGTTTGTGGATCTGTATCTTCCAGCTGGGCTTCACCAGCTAGTCTCTGGTTTGCAGGAAGAGGAACAGGGCAAGCAAAAGCTCTTGCTGTGTTTAGTTTTAATAAGACTGACCTCTTCCATAGAAACCAGAATCATGATGCTTCTTTTTGGATGAGGAGCCAACACTTCCACACTTCTGTTGCGAGGTTGAAAAAGCGAGCACTGCCTGAACCTCCCCCTAGAGAACTCGATCTGTTGCGCTATGACATGAAGGACTTGTTGAAAAGTCCCAGACCTGCCCTCTACCTGGGGTTTGCAGGGCTTGTCCCCTTCGTCTCACCCACCTTGTTTATGGCTGTGACTGAGAGCTACTATCCAGAGTTGGGTTATGCCCAGCTAGCCTATGCTGCCTCCATCATTTCTTTCCTTGGTGGAGCGAGATGGGGATTCGCTCTTCCCGAGAGCAGCCCAGCAAAACCTGACTGGATAAACCTGGCCAACAGCGTCGTCCCCTCCCTCTTGGCCTGGGTGGCCATGCTGATGAGTGACAGCATTGTTCCTGCTGCCACCATGGTCATCATGGGACTCGGAATCTCACTCCATTATGATCTGTCTCTCCTTCCCACTTACCCCAGTTGGTTCAAAGCCCTGCGCGCCATCCTGACCACTGTTGCGTTTTTTTCTCTCTTAGGCACCCTTATAATGAACGGTTCATACCCAGAGAAGAGCATTTTCAGGGATTGATGACATTTGGCTGGACAAGGCATCCCTGGGTTGTGCTAAATCTTTATTTGGGTGATCTGACTTCAAAGTTTTTCTTGATATTGATGATCTCTGAACCTGTTGGGTTGATCTCTGTTTCTAGAAGTTGCCTGTGTTAAATATCATGTTACAAACTGAACTCTGTTAAAGCAAACCAGAGATAAAAATAAATAAATAAAATTCAAGTCTGTCTGTCCAGCTTTTAGTAACATGTGTTCCACTTGTTCATGGTGGACAAAATTTGTTCCATACTGTTTTGTCTTCCACATAAAGCCATTTCATTAAACTTGACCCTAGTCTTTCATATTATAGAGAAGAAGCATGTGTCAGTGATTTTTAAAACCACTAGGAGACGCCAAAGTCAAGGATGTTCATATTGTATGAAGCAAGAAGGAAAATAAAAGACACTGAAATTGTAATCTTCTTACTGAGTTAATATTTAACACACACTGGGGAAGATAATTGTTCTATCTCCTACAAAATTTGTAAGTTTGCTCACTTCGAAAATATTTTAAAAGAAACAAACAGTTGCTCTGAACCCCATAGCAGAAAAACATGCCTGACTGTTGTGATGCTGGTGTTTGGGTCATACTCAGCATTTCTCTTCTTCATTTGATGCCAAAGAGCTCCGATTATGGTTTCATTTGATCACAACACTTTCTCCCAATTCATCGCAGAATCATTTAGATTTTCACTGGCAAACTTAAGACTGGCCTGAACATGTGTTGCAAGATCTCAGCCTATTACAGCGTGTTGTGTTGAATGAATGGTGTCCTTGATGCCTGTGGTCCTAACTGCTTTTAGGTCATTAACAGGCTCCTCCTGTGCGGTTTGAGCTGATCTACCTCTTATCTCATGATCATCCTCATCCAGTGAGGTAAGATCTTGCATGGATCTCCACACTGGGGACGATTGATGGTCATTTTATATTTCTTCCATTTCCAAATAATTGGATTCCTGCTGATGGTCTTATAGCCCATTTTTCTTACCTGATTCAAAGAATTTGCCCATATTACGTTTTGAGTTGTTAAATGAAAATTGCATATTTTTTAGGCAACATTTGCACTTCAAATTAGCAGCTCCACTGTTACACTGTAGTATTGACATCACCAGGGAAAGCAGTTATTACATAAGCCCTGAAGTGGACTAATCTCTACTTAAAGCCTCAGCGATCGAGTGTCACACGAGGCCAGAGACGTGAACACAGTGTAGAATAAAAACCTGGACTCACTGTACACTAATTGTCTCAGCTGGACAACAAATAATTTTATTGATGTTTGAAAAGAAATGCACGCACATCTTCTAACATTTGTATCCAGATTTATTCACATAAACACCAGCGCCTAATAAAGACATATTTGAAAGAAAGGCAAGAGAAAACAGGGGTGTTGAAGTCCACAGATATCTGAGAATAAAAAAAACATATAAGGCACAATTCTACTTCTGTCCCGTATAAAAAGACCCTTTAAATGAACCAATGACCCTCAGATGAAATCCCTTATTAAAAAGTCAAACCTCTCTCAGATGTCACACAATGTGTAAATACAGTATTGCACTTGTTTGTTTGTTTTAGTTTCTTTGGATTTCTTTGTGAAACAGTTTTCCCACCACACGTGGGACTTGGTCAAATTATTTTTGATGATAAGAAGATAAACAAAAAAACAGAAGATTGCAGCAGGTGACTTCTTGGACTTTTTGATTAAATATTAGAGTAACGTTTCTATTCAACAATTAAACCAAAAAGAAATTACCCTGATAAGTGTTCTTGGTTTTCAAAGCCAGAGATGAACTGATCTGAAGTAGATCATGAGGCTTGTTGGAGTACATAAAGCTAGGAGTGCACAATCAACACAACCAACATTTGGAAACTTTGTAGAGATCTTCCTACTCACTGTCAGCCCTGCGTTAGCGCTGCAGGATTTTCTTTGTATGAGCAAAGGCCTGCGGTCTCAGTGGACTGCAGGTAAACAAGGGCAAATAACATGTGTAAAAAAGGAGGGAGTGTTTTGAAATTTTAAAAAAAAGTTGGGTGCACCTTTTCTTGCACTCGTAAACACATGCGGTCACTGAGAACTCTGCTGCCTACTTCTGAATACCCAGACCAGACCGCATGTACTCGTACACCACGTAGCTAATGCTGACGGCTGGTATGACCTTCATGAAATTGGGCAGGATGCCGCGGTAAAGTCCAAAGAAGCCCTCCTTTTTCATAATCTTCTTCACCATCAGATTCATCGGCAGCTGCTCTGAGCCCTCAACAGAAGCTGAGAAAAGAAAGGTAAAGCCAGATGAGTGAAGAAAAAGATCTCCTCATGTTTAAAATCTCTAGATTTTAGAAGTATTGGCTGCTTATAAGCAGCATATGTTTGAAATTAGCTTAGATTAAAGAACTGAAAATTGTTTTCCAAATGTAAATGTTGATGACTTCAGAATAAAGCACAAAGTCCTCAGTTAAACCTCATAACCATGGTTTTAAGGTTATTTAACCCCCTCTGTGGACAGTTTTGAAGTATTTCTTTTATTTGAATGATACCTCATTGAAGTTAAGAGACAAATGCAAAATAAAACCTATTCCAGTATATTTATGTGGATACTTTTTGGTGGCCCACCATGTTTCAGGTGTTTTATATATCATCATTTGGAAGTCTTAAATTATTTAAACAGAACTTCTAAAGAAACAATAATACTTGACATATTTTACAGTGCTATTTTTTTTAAATTGTAAAATGCAGAACCAGTTGGTAAAAAAATAAGTAGCCGATACTGCTAATCAAATGCACTTGATTACTAATCATCAGCCAGTATGAGCACCTGTATTAAAGCAGAAGTTTTGGCAGTTAACACAACGCAAAGGAGGAAAAACATCAGCAATGATCTTAGAGATGCAACTGTTGCTGCTCATCAGTCTGAGAAGGGTTATAATCATCCTGCAGTGAAAAAGATTATCCACAGAATGTATGATGCTCAGAGAAATTGCAAAAAAAAAGCAAAACCTTACGAGAGCTGTGCACAAATGCAGCAAATCTTAATGACGAGAGACTAATGAAATCAAACGGAAAACCTCAAGCACTTAAGACCTGTTAAGAATCAGGTGATGTTTTTTAAATGATGTCCTATAAAAACTTGGGGCTTTTTTCACATTACTGCAAGTAAAATTTAGATAAAGGGCTTGTTTATGATATTTTGTACTCTTGTAGTTTTACTTTAAATGGTCTCAGCACTCATTCAGGTCCTTTACCGTTTCCTCTCTTGAATACTGAAGCACATGCATGGCTCAAATGTCTAATAAACAGAGTAGTTATAAAGAACTCACATAGATTTATTAATTTTCCATTTAAGCAGAGATTTCATGAAAAAATCTTGAATTTCCTCGTAAAACACTTTATAATCTCTGAACAACTCAGTGGCATTATGGTACTACAAGTTAAATGCAAGCATTAATAAGGGGGCTATTTCTTTAATAAGGTTTGGTTCACCGTACCTTGTGCTTGCATGCGGGTTCGGATCAGAGCCAGGGGATAGCTGGCCAGCTGGCCGCAGGTGCTGGAAATGGTACCACAGCCCAGCAGCACCAGAACCCCTGGATTGGCTGTGTCTTTGGCATAGTGGGACAACCAGAAGTTCTTCAAGCTCTGGTATGGAATACACAGGAATGACAGATGAGAGTGAGGGTTGATGCATAATATTTTGCAAAATCAGCACACAAGTGATGCTTAAACAGATTAAAATGGAGTTTTCTATGGACGCATAGTGTTGTAGGTGATTCTGAACCTTCCGAACATTTTTCCAGACAGGAATGATTCATCAGGATTTACCTCATACACTGCCAGATCTATCCCAGCGTAGGGGATAATGCCCAGAATATTGGGAATGTAGCCCTTGTAAAACGCCTTCACTCCCTCATTCTTCAGGACTTTCTTGGCACAGTCAAACATTCCCGAGTACTGTCCGGTTTTCCTCAGGGTCATACGGGTTTTCATCACCTGAAGAGACAAAGATGATTAGTGTGGCTGTTTTACATCAGGCTGCACGTTTGACTTAACGTGTTACTGCATCTTTTATGCTACTGGATTGGTTAAGACATCTAAAATTTGTTTGGACACTAAGATATGATCAAACAAGACACATGAGGTAATTAACAAACCAATGAAACTGCACCATGTATAATGTGGGTGTATGCGTTAGTCCCCGTAGAGAAATTACTCCTTAGAGGAGTAATTTTGGCAGCCAAAATGGAGTGCCCAGGGAGCAGTGCATAGGGACGGTAACTTGCTCAGGGGTACCTCAGTGTAGCCGTTCAGTGGATTCGAACCCCCAACCTTCCGATCATGAGGCAACCACGTTACCTACTGAGCTGTCCCTGCCCTCATGTGTCTCCATATTTGATATGGAAACTTGCTCGCCCCTCCTGTGGTGCCTCCTGTTACTATCATCCACACGTGCACTCTTTATGCATCTGTGCTGTAAAGACTACACTTCCACTCACCTCCATGGGGTAGATGGCAGTTTGTGCGGTGGCTCCAGCCAACGATCCAGCCATGAACCTCTCGTGGGACTTCACCTTACCCGGTTCACTGGACAGCAGCTTCTTATACTGGTGACACGGGAACATGAAAACCGAACGGCTCAGCAGGATCACACATCAGTGACAAAAGTGACTGCTAGTGTTAGTAGTTCTCAACATGTAACATTTAACGTGACCATAAGCTGCGATTTATACTGGAGTCTGTAAAGAGGAGGAGAACTTACCTGTTCATAAGCCATGAATTTAATGGCTGTCTCGGGGGCGATCTTCATGACATTGATACCATTTCCTCTCCACAAAGAAGCCACCCCTCCTTCTTTTAGCATTTGCTTGAAGCCGCTGACCAGGCTGATTTGGTTGGTTGTAGAAGCGTGCACCTGGGGAAAAAAAGCACTTTTAAGTTATAACTAAGCAGCAAGGGCTCAAAATTCAATTGCTGAAATTCAAAGTGAGCATCAGAATGGAGAAGAAGGGTGATTTAAATGAGTTTGAATATAGTACAGTGGTTAGCATATAAGCATGGATCCACGATGCCATGAATCATTGGGTCAGGCTGGTGGTGATGGTGTAATGGTGTGGGGGATATTTACTTTGGTACACTTTGGACCCATTGCTACCAATAGAGCTTACCTGAGTGCTAATGGTGGCCATTTCCATCCCTTTATAACCACTGTGTACCCACCTTCTGATGGCTGCTTCCAGTAGCATAATGCATCATGTCACTAAGCTTAAATCAACTGGTTTCTTGAACATGATAGCAAGTTTACTGTACTGATCACAATCCAATAGAGAGCCTTTTGGGGTGTGGTGGAACGGGAGATTTGTATCATGATGTGCAGCCGACAAATCTGCAGCAACTATGTGATGACGTCATGTCAATATGTAGCAGAATCTCTGAGGAATGTTTCCAACACCGTGCTGAATCTGTTCCATGAAGAATGAAAGCAGTTCTGAAGGGAAAAGTGAATCCAACCCAGTGCTAGCAAGATGTACCTAATAAAGTGTCTGCTGAATGTATTTATATGGTATTTTTTAAAAACAGGATAACCCAAACTAACACAAGACCAGCATTTTGAAGCACACTTATCACCACATGGACCAATGCACACATTTAGTAAAAATCCAATCCCTGGAGAAAAGGACCGATGAACAACCCAACAGGAATTTTATAAAATCTAAAAGAAATCTTGACCCACCTGCATGAAGACCTTCATTCTGTCCAGAGGGGCGGTTCCTGTACGGGACACAGCACCCGCCACTGCTCCTGCAGACAGCTGCTTCCACCACAGACCTGTCGTCTTCTCTTCCTCTGTGAACTCATCTGGGATGGTGAGGCTGTCACCAATGTCCAAAACCTACACCCAATACAGTACAATCAAGTCACAGTCAAAGAGACTGACTGCTGAGAATAGACTGTCTATAAAAGATGCACATAGCCTCTGGGACAGTCTTAATCCTGTAACCTCTGTAATTATTAGTAGAATTATTTATTATTTACAAAAATAAATAAAATATTCACTCTTTAAAAAATAGAATACATTTATCAAATAATAAATCCAACATATATTTATTAATAATAAAAAATAAAAATAAAAAATACCCCCATTGCAGTTCCACCTTTAAGGTCCAGTAAGACCATAAGTTGCTCCTGCACTTTTCTTTTCCCAAGCTAACTACCCAGTTATAAGGTGTTTTTTTGTTTTGTTTTTTCACAGTGAACAAGTAATGCTCTTTGATAATTGGGCTCGCTTGCTAGCACTGGCTAATTAGCGCTAACCCCTTTTCCAAAATATACAGAAAAAAAAAAATCACGGAAATGGCCAAAATGTAAAATAAATAAAGGCTTTAACACAATCTCATGACATGTTGGCTAGGTCAATCATTTGGATACTATGCTGTTACAGTAAATTTGTCAAAGAAAGCTAAATAGTCCCTGAAAGCTGGTGAAAGCTGGTGAAATTGCAGACTTGCGTGTGATACTACTGTCAAAACATAAGAGCTTTATTCTATATTCTGATTTTGTCTCTTACACTACCATTTTGAATCCTTTTAAATGCAGTTTAAAAGGAAGGAAGAACCCTTAAAGGCCCTTTCTGAACTGAGCGGTTTCTGTCACACTTCAAGCCTTATTATAGAACAAAATGGTTTGCATCAGACGTTAGTGAGGGTGGTTTCTGCCTATGCAGCCACCCTTTGGAAAACCCAGGAACTATTTTAGCAATCATTAAACCACGTCTTTATTAATAAATGTAAAGGTGTCAAAACTCATCATTAAAAGTTAAAACCCACTAGGCCGCTCTGCAGATGAACTTTTAGCTAAGCTGGGCAGCCTCATAACCACGCATTCCCAGCTTCACCTTAAACGTAATGCCTAGAAGGATGGGACACATGCCATATCCTTATCCAAAACTTGCATAACTACAGGTCGATGCTGCGAGATCAGTTACATCACTGCACGTCACTGATGTAAAGTTGCCGTTTTGAGATCACAGATGCAGCAGGGGGGGTTTGGGTTTTGTTTTTTTTACTTTTACCACTGCAGTAATGTATCAGCCTTTTTTTAAACAAACCACAAATAACAAATCTGCCCCCTTAAGACATTTTTAAGGCAGGAGTTGACAGCTAACATTAGTTTTAGTTTTAGTTTTATCTGCCAATAGAACACTGTGTTATAAAATTATAGGTGAGGATTTGGCTAGAAATTTGCCTTGGCACCCTTGAAGCTTATATTACCTGTGCATTACGTCAGGTATGATGTGTTTTTAAAGAATGCTAGTCAGCGGATGGGCCTCTTCATACCTGACATGATGTAAAGGTGAAAATATTAACTTGTGTTCTCCGGTGGACATAATTGCTACACTATTTCTAAACTACCTCAACCATGCCTCAGCATAATAATACTTTTACCCATGACCAGATGACAACCAAAACTCAACATCTGAATACAAGAACCTACCATGTCCACATCCACCTCATACAGCCAATCATCTTCCAAGTCGAGGAAAAACCAGCTTTCCTGACGTTGCTGTTGCTGCTGGTGAGGCTGCAGCAGAGCCAAGGCCATCTCAAGCCTTTGATAAGGCTGCTAGCTCTAGCAGTTCTAACAAAGGACAAGGTCCCTCCTATAAACACCAGTTCTCAGACCCGTCAGGATCCTTCACACGATTCTGATCAAGGGCCCAGACAGAGGTCGACAGACTGCAGAGCAACGCACTAAATCCACAAAGCTTCGGCTTGAACGCTGGAAATAACGAGACCTTTTCATTGCCATAGATGCTCCCAACAAGTCATCAAGTCTCACAGACGCATCATCTCGGATTCTTCTCTCCTGTTCCTTTCTAGACTAAATAGTCTTCCTCTCACCTCCTCCAGTCCTCCTAAATGATACACTAATCCACCCACAGCTCAGGCTGAAATTAGCTCATCTCTGCCAAGCTTAGAAACCAAAGGTTAATTAGACTTCCGAGCTTATGCCAGTGAATGAATTCAGCGAACGCTAGAGATTAACCACTGACTGAAAGTGGACGCTCCTCTAGCACGCAACTGTACTTAAATATAGGCAGCAGCCCTTCAGGGTTTGATTATTCCCTGATAATCTAATAAAATGTCAGAGTTTCATGTTTGCTCCATTCAAGAAGATTTCTTTTACCATTCAGAGTTCATTTCATTCACAAGTGACAAATTCTTCAGACTCCTCCCCCTTTCATCTGCTCTGGTCATGAACGAATCACACTACTCATCTGTTGCCAAAAGTCCCCCAAATCCGTTATTGTGTGTCACCTCTCTGTGGCAGAAGCCTGCACTGCAACTAAAAT